CCCCCACCACCATCACCACCACCACCACCACCAGCGCCTGTCGGGCAACGTCAGCGGCAGCTTCACCCTCATGCGCGATGAACGCGGGCTCCCGGCCATGAACAACCTCTACAGCCCCTACAAGGAGATGCCGGGCATGAGCCAGAGCCTGTCCCCGCTGGGCGCCACGCCGTTGGGCAACGGGCTGGGTGGCCTCCACAACGCGCAGCAGAGCCTGCCCAACTATGGGCCGCCGGGCCACGACAAAATGCTCAGCCCCAACTTCGACGCGCACCACACTGCCATGCTGACCCGCGGTGAGCAGCACCTGTCCCGGGGCCTGGGCACCCCGCCCGCGGCCATGATGTCGCACCTCAATGGCCTGCACCACCCGGGTCACGCTCAGTCCCACGGGCCAGTGCTGGCACCCAGCCGCGAACGTCCACCCTCGTCCTCGTCGGGCTCGCAGGTGGCCACATCTGGCCAGCTGGAGGAGATCAACACCAAAGAGGTGGCCCAGCGCATCACCGCCGAGCTGAAGCGCTACAGCATTCCGCAGGCGATCTTCGCGCAGAGGGTGCTGTGCCGGTCTCAGGGGACTCTCTCCGACCTGCTCCGGAACCCAAAGCCGTGGAGTAAACTCAAATCTGGCAGGGAGACCTTCCGCAGGATGTGGAAGTGGCTGCAGGAGCCGGAGTTCCAGCGCATGTCCGCCTTGCGCCTGGCAGGTAAGCCCAGGGAGTCGCCTGGAGCCACGCTGCTGGGGAGAGGACTCTGGGTGCTTGTGGCCGCGGGTCAGCGCACCTAGCACTTCTCGGGGTTCTCTCCTGCTATCCCCTACAGACTTCCTGTTCTTGACTTTATTCCTTGTTCCATTTCCTCTTTCTCTCTTCCTCCTCTTCCTTTTGCTCTCCCTTCTTCTGTTTTTCTTTTCCTTCCTCCTTGTCTACAGCTTTGATCTACCGACTCCCCCTTACACACACACACACACACATACACACACACACACACACACACACGTGTTTCATTTGCCTCCCTCAATGTGTCAATTTTGCCCTCTCTTTCCGAGGGGAGATGGGGTGCCCGGTATCCACCAGGAGCCCTCTTTTTCCAGGACTCACGGAGACCAGGTATTGCCCTTGTTCAAAACCCTGTGCACTTGAACACTTGCTTAAACAATACATTTCAGTTTCCCAAACTGCCTAGTCTCCCTGTATGGAGTCGGTTGAGGGGCTTTGCTCTTCAGAAGAGAAAGAGATCTCTCTGTTCTCCTACCCACCACATCAGGCAAACTTCTTTGATTATTGGCAGGAGTCACACACAGCCTTGCCCGCACCGGGAACTGGTGGCTCCCTAGACTGTAACAGCGCTTCCTGAGCCCTTCTTCGGCCTTGGCGTTGGCGCAGGGACTTTCTGACCCAAAAAACCAACTTGGGCTAGCTCCCATGTTACTGTCCACAGCGGGGAGGGTGCAAGGATGAGGGTCTGGACTGCCACATTAACCTCCGGGAGAATGGGGGAAGAGAAACTAAGAATGGAGAGCGCTGTGCCTCACTTGCCAGCCGCCCTTGCCCCGCTCCTAGCGTTTGCTGGGATTTGCCGAGGTTTGGCTGGGCTTGGAGAGAGGTTAGGCGCTCTCAGGGAAGAGGTGCTGAGAAATTAAGATGCAGGTTAGTTAATGCGTCTTGGCCGCGGGCTACAGGCTCCGCCTTTGCATTAAGCGGACGCTGATTGTGCGCGTCGCGCCGCGGCGGGGAGGGCCGACGACCTGCGGGAGGGGACGAGTTGATGCGCTGGTTACATTGTTCTGGAGCTGCCTTGGCTCTTTGTGCCTCCTCTAGCGGCGGAGCCGCGAGGTACAGCCCTCTATTGTTCTAGGAGCACGGACACCTCCTGCGTGGGCGGCGGGAGCTGTAGAGAAAAACGCAGCAGTGGCTGCGCCTTTCTTGCAGTTGCGCGCTTTTGTGCGCACAGAGCCAGCGAGGTGCGCGTGGCAGTCGCGCTGTCCTTAGGATCCAGCCGCGGGCCCATAGGGTCTAAGTGTCCAGGCACCCCACTGGGGCGGACACACTGTACCATGCTGCAAACAGGGTTGGGCAGCTTCTCTTGGACTGGAGCGATCTCTCGGGGGCCCGCGGGCCATCAGGGGGATAAGTCGTAGTGGCAGTGATTTCCATAGGCAGGGACAGTGCGACCCACGCGGTTCTGTGGGTTCTGAGCCGGCCGCACACAACGCGCTTCCGGAGGGGAAAGCACGGCTTCCTCTCCCACGCCCCGGGCTTTCCTCGCACCGCCCAGCCTGGCTTATGGGGTGCACTCTACCGACACCAGACCGGCCTGGGGGACGTGACAGACAGCATTTTCACCCAGGCTTGGGGAGGGGGCGTTTCCGATCTGACCACCTCAGCCTTTGCCTCCAGCGGCCCACGGTGATGATCTGAGAAGATAAAAAGAAAACTAGCTTTGCCCGAAAGAGCTTTGTCAAATCGGGGAACTCCAAGTACTTTTGCTTGCATTTAGATGTCTACTTTATCTCTCTCCTTTAGCTTGGTCTTCATCCTCTCCTACATTTTTCTCTGATTTGCTCTTGGTTCCTAGCAAAGATTAAGCAGCGAATAGATAGTAGCGGTGAGATTTAAATTGGAGGTTTACTGACAATTCCCTACAGTGTGGTTCCCTTTTGTCTTAGTCCCCCCCTCTTTTGCCCCCCCCCCTCAGTCTCTCTCCTGAGAGCTCTAGCACGTGCTACCTTCCTGGACATAGGGGGCCAGAAGGAACTTGGCAGCTGGTCTTTGGGGGGTACAGTTAAAGGCTGGATGACAGCTATTCCATTCCAGCCCATCTCAGAGCGCTGTCGCCCCCTCACGCCTGTGGAGCAAAGGACAGAGCTAAAAAAAAAAACAAAAAAAGCAAAGCACTGCCTTCCTGCCTATGTATCTGACGGTGGTGTGGCAAGTCATGTTTTACTGTTAGCAGTCGGAAATGACCCCAAGCTTGCTGGGTTGAAGGGTAAGTGTGGCAATTCTGCGGGAACCCCACCATTGAGAGTCCCAGGATGACTCCTCTGGGGCTTTTAGGAGGAGCCCCGAAACTGCCTCTGAAACTGCCTCGTTCAGAGAGTGGGAAATTCCTCCTGAATGCTTCAAGCATTCAAATTTGGTGTGTCTGTTTTATTACCCCAAGTTGAAAAGGGACAAGAGCTTTAGCCTTTTTATCTGGTCATTCTATCAGCAACTACAAGCGTGTTGAGTGGTCATTATTACATAGAAGGCTTTTCAGTTTGGGGTCGGTAGATCAGTCTCTTCAGACACTGACACAGAAGCTGGGTTGGTAAGTAGGTATTATATACTCGGGAGCACGAGGGGACTGGAGCAAATGGAGAAGAAAAGCTGAGGCCTTCTCCGCCAGGAATATCGATCGATTGGAATCATCCCACACTGTTGGGCTCCGGTTCCAGGGGTTAAACAATCCTAGTAGCTCCACAGGACTGCTGGGCCTTGTCTCCCAGCCCTGTGCCTAGAAGTGGTGCCACCCCCAACCCCCCACTCCCGCTCCAGACAAGGCTCGCTCTATCTATCTATCTATCTATCTATCTATCTATCTATCTCCTTTTAGTTTCCTTTTCTTTTCTCATTTTGGGCCCCTCTGGGTCTTGCCAGAGGCCCAAGCAGACAGGGGTTTGAGGGACGTAAGAATTAAGATGTCTGATTTGGACCTTCGCCTGCAACCTCACCCTTAGGTGAAGCACACCGTCACAACAGAAGCAGGTCCTTCCTCTCTCCCTGCCCACCTCCTGGGTGTATACACAGCTCAAGGTAGCATTTCAAGAGGGAAGGGAGGAGACGTCAGGAAACTCAGATTGCCCCAGCACTAGGCTTCAGAGAAATGGACTCCAAGTGCGAGATTTGAGATTTCGTTTGGAAAGGGTGGCAGAGGCAGCAACTGCCCCCAGCTGGGCCTCTTCAGGGGTTTCCCAAGGCTGGCTCCTGCAGGGCAGTTTTTATGAATTGTGGCAGAGGCTGGGAGGACACACTCCCACGGGTTCAAGAACCAACACTCTCCACCTTGCCCAAGAAAAGCCTAAACCAGCGGTTCTCAACCTGTGGGTCGCGACCCCTTTGGGGGTCGAACGACCCTTTCACAGGGGTCGCCTAAGACCATCGGAAAACACATATATAATTACATATTGTTTTTGTGATTAATCACTATGCTTTAATTATGTTCAATTTGTAACAATGAAATTGGGGGTCACCACAACATGAGGCACTGTATTAAAGGGTCGGGGCATTAGGAAGGTTGAGAACCACTGCTCTAAACCAAGGCACAAACAGGAACAAAGAGGGAGAGAACCCAGGCAAGAACCTGGGGCCCCACCGAGGAAAAATCGAGGCCCTCAGTGATCGGAGTGTTGCCTCCAACGCCCAGAAGACAAAGCAGAGCCCTCAGTCCTTGCCAACATACCCTGTAACCTGGGCTCCCGAGTGTTCTGCTAGGAATCTGCCTCCAGTCCCAGCGGTGGACGGATTCCGGCCCTCTTCGGGCAGCAACTCCCACTGGTCAATCTGGAACCAACTCTGTTCCCGCAGCAGAGGGCTCTTAACCAACCCGACCAGATGCCGCCGGGCCACCTGAGGCTGCAGCAGTGAGCATGGCAGGGCACCAACTGTGTGCCCGTCTGCTTCTGAGCGGGGCAGGGAGGAGGGTGTCTTAGGGTACACCTCCGTCAAGCACCTCCTAAATCAAGGAGAGAGAATGGGGACTTCATTCGCAGACCTCTCCCCACTCCACCCCCCCCCCCCCACCCCAAGGCTCCCTGCCCACCTCAGCCCAGCTCTCGCTACATTTAGTTCGGGATCGTGGCCAAGAGGCCACAGGCAACCAGGTCGGTAGGGAACACGCGATATTTTCGCCTGCTGGATGGTGGGATTAATAATTAAAAAGCTCTCGCTACTGTCCTTGCCTGGTCAAGCCCCGAGTGCGGGTAGAACACCTCCCCAACACGCATTAGGGTGGACGGGAGCGGCCCCAGGAGGCGGGATGTGAGGAGAGTAGCGAAGCCGCGCGAGAGACGCAGTCCAGGCCAGCCGGCGCCCTGGACGAGAGAGGCTGCGCATTTATTTTTATTCCAGGCTTTCCACTGTGTGGTTATGTCACTTTCTCAAACAAATGTGTATATGGAGGGAGATCGATGCTGATAATGTTTAGAAGATTAAAAGAGCATTAATGCTGGCAACAATAACGTAAACGTGTGGACCCAGATTTCATTGATCTGGAACCTGATCCGGCGCGTTTCCAGTAAGCCCGACCGTTCCCAGCAGAGCGCTCGCCCCGGCTCACGCGCTCCCTGCCGCGCTGCTGCCCCAGCTCCAGGCGGGTTCTCGGGTCTGCCTGCAGCTCCTCCCCGGAGCGGCCCCAGATACCCGAGGCTTTCTCCGGTCGCAGGACTGCCCGCCTACTTCCCCAGCTCCCCTGCGCGCGCACACCGCTTCCTGCGTTTTCTGCGCTCCCGCTCCCGCCACTGGCTCTGCAGGTGGCTGTGTGTGGGCTTTGCACCAGGCCTCCCAGCTTCCTTGTCCTGGAGGAGTCCTCTCCCCCTCCCCCAGGCCCCTACATCTGCTCCAGCAGGGCCCCGGGCAACTTCGTTCCTCCATTGAAACCATGTAGGAAATTCAGTGACCCCCTTCATATGCGGGAATAACCAAAACCTACTTTGCAAACGTCTCTAAAG